TTTTTGAGACAGAGTCTTGCTTTGTCGCCCAGGCTGGAGTACAGTGGTGCAATCTTGGCTCACTGCAACCTCCACCTCAGGTTTAAGCGATTTTCCTGTCTCAGCCTCCCAAGTAGCTGGGATTACAGGCACCAACCACTATGCCTGGCTAATTTTTGTATATTTAGTAGATACAGGGTTTCACCATGTTGGCCAGGCTGGTCTCGAGCTCCTGACCTCAAAATGATCTGATTACCTTGGCCTCCCAAAGTGCTGGGATTACAGGTGTGAGCCACTGTACCTGGCCTGTTACCAGAATTTTAAATTGTTCCTAATAATGTCACTAGGATATTTTGACTATAATACACCTTGATATTTTATAGAGATTTTTCTTTTCTTTTTTTCTGAGACAGAGTTTTGCTTTTGTTGCCCAGGCTGGAGTGCAATGACATGATGTCGGCTCACTGCAACCTCCACCTCCTGGGTTCAAGTGATTTCCTGCCTCAGTCTCCCGAGTAGCTGGGATTACAGGCATACACCAGCACACTCGGCTAATTTTTTTGTGTCTTTAGTAGAGACGCGGTTTCACCATGTTGGTCAGGCTGGTCTTGAGCTCCTGACCTCATGATCCACCTGCCTCAGCCCCCCTAAGTGCTGGGATTACAGGCATGAGCCACCAAGCCCAACAGAGATTTTTCTTTAGTTGCCTACAATAGGGCAAGAAGGGGTAAGAAGGATTAGAAATTAGGAAAAATAAGGCCAGGTGCAGTGGTTTATGCCTGTAATCCCAATTCTTTGGGAGATTGAGGTGAGAGGATCCCTTGAGGCCAGGAGTTTGAACCAGCCTGGGCAACATAATGAGACCCTATCTCTACAAAAAATTTAAAAATTAACCAGGTGGTAGCATGTGTCTATAGTCCCAGCTGTTAGGGAAACTGAGGCAGGAGGATTGCTGAAGCATAGGAGTCTGAGGTTACAGTGAGCTATGATCACACTACTGGACCCTGGCCTGGGTGACAGAGCAAGACCCTGTCTTCTTAAAGAAAAAGAAAAATCAGCACATATTCTCCTTGAAGCCTTTAGAACAACTACATATGAGGCTTGTTGGATCATCAGCCACTTTGGACTTTTCATACTGTTCTCCTGAGTGAAATCGGACTGGCCTGGTAGAAAATTTACAGTGCGTGGGAGGAGCCATTTTTATCAGAGAACTGAGGGTTCTTTTCACTTTAGAAGTAGAGAGTCTGTGTCCTCACGTTGATCAATCAGCAGTTAAGTCATTTTCTTTCACAAATTTAGCAGTCTGTTTTTTATTTCCATTTATGGGCAGAAGACATATTTAGATTCTCCTCCCTACCCTCTCCCTAAAAATTTCACAGGGTGTGCTCATTGCTTGTGATCTTGATAGGTGATCATAGATGAGTTAATAAAGAAATTGGACATGAATCTGAATGAAGACATCAGTTCCCTGTCCACTGAAGAGCTTCGTCAACGTGTAGATGCAGCGGTGGCTCAGATCGTGAACCCAGCCCGAGTCAAAGAACAATTGGTTGAGCAACTGAAAACTCAAATCCGAGACCTCGAGATGTTCATCAACTTCATCCAAGGTTAGAGGAGGGGATGGGATGAGAAGAGTGGACAAGTGTCATAATAATTTTTTTTTTTTTTTTTTTTTTTGCGACAGAGTCTCGCTCTGTCACCCAGGCTGGAGTGCATTGGCATGGTCTCAGCTCACTGCTGAACCTCTGC